AGTACGATCCTTGTTAGATGCGATCACTCGGAGCCAATCTCGTACATTGTTCTTCTTCAAGTATTTCTTTGTCAGGTACTTCAAGTACCTAAAAATTGTATGCCACCCACAATGAATGATGTTAAAGAAAAAATAATAATATACACAAAAAAGTGAGGTAGATCTAGAAGAATTGGCAAATTTAAGTGCAGTGCAAACATCAATAACTTGCATGTCCCACGCTATCAATGTCGTAATCCGTGTTTGCCATGGTTCAAACAACCATCTCCCAAGCCCCTTTTATCTTCTTCCCTTTCTCATTGAGAATATGGAAAGAGAGAATGAGGCCATGGGATCAGTCCCCATGTGCAATGGATACTGAAACAGAGAACACCACATAGAGCCAATGGAGGGGCCATGTCACACTCGAAAATCTAACCACCATAGATAAGTTCCAATTTCTAGACAAAGCTCCGTCCTAAATGCTAGGGATTAAAAGGACATCTCCAATTCAATACAATAACAATGCATAAAAGTTATACTTCTCCTAATTTTATTCAATTGCCGCCACAGATGCATAGAACTCAATGATAACATGTCCAGTGGGCAGTGGGGGACTGCCCACGACCCTGCACATATTATCTAGTTTACAAATATCCACGTGTCAGCTAATTATCTTTCCCCTCACATTCATTCTCTTAACCTTCAGCCCTTAAAGCTTGTACTTAACAAATACCAAAGTACAAGAAAAAGAGGAGAAATGACACACTCAATTCGGTGTGAACAATGGAGACTAACACCCATAGCCTCAATGACATACAAACTAAGCTCCATCTTACCCATCTACCAGCAGCAGCAGAGTTACTGCACTTCCGGAGAGGAAGCCCACAAAGCTCACCCTACTAAATCATGGTTTTTTCATTGAGCCATTGAAAAACTAAAATTGACAAAATATGATCTACGAGCTCTTTTGTTTCCTACATCATAAAAGAATATAGTACACTATATCTAAAAAACCATGAATTGTTAACATAATTCAATCACAACGAAAGATCTATCAGCGTTTCAATTGGATCAGCAGGTAACATATAACACAGAAAAAATGGACTGACAATCTAGCAACCAATTCACGCTTTTGCATTAAAAAAAACCATAAAAAGCACACGCGGACAAAATAAAAGAAATGAAATAAATATGAATTTTGAAGAAGACAACAGAGCTACCTTTTGGAGAAGCTAGTCTCGTTAGCAGTAACAGAGATCTTGTTCTTGTCACGGGTGACAGTTACGGAATCTCCTAGAGCACCGGGCTTACCGCCGACTTTGATGCGCTCCTGAAGGAATTTTTCGAGAGAGGCGATGTCCATGATCTTATCCTCTACCGGCTTCGAGCAGTCGATAACAAACGTCGCTGCCTTCTTCTTCCCTCCTTTCTGAGCACCAGTCGAAGCTCCTCCTTTACTCATTTTC